ACCCAACTGTCTAGGGTTTGTTTTGAGCCTCATGGATTACGAACTCAAAACTTAAATTTTGTGGAAGAACAAGTGTTAGAAACCCAAAAATAGCTTTATAAAACACATTAATAAAACAGCATGAAATAAATTAAAAGTTGGTTAGTGCAAAGGTATGAGAAACGGCAGACTCTGCCTGTTGAAGCAACTTCTATGTTGATGGCAACTGCAATTCTGGTTCCTAAAAACATTCCTCCACTACTTCATGCATCCTATATCCTGTCTTGTAATACCTATGTGGACTAAGATTGTTGTGAAAGGTCTTGCTGGCATTATCTGCAATGGCCACTGTAAACTCTGTGAAACTAAGTATATTGTGTTAGTCCACTGTCATGGAACTTTTACCGCTTCTGAAATTGCATATATTTATAGGAATAATTTGTATATACATAGACGCTTACAGCTGAAGTTACATCAGCACTAGCAAAGTAGGCAGTGGTAGCACAGTAGTTTACACTTGCTTCCCAACGTTCTGAACAGTATGCATACTAGGATATACTGACTCCTTCATGTAAGAAGATGTGCTAACCTTATTTTTCCAGGTATTAATTTCTTCAGAATAATTCCCTGTGGAATCAGTAACTTCCAATGATTGTATTGTTTATATAGCAACTTTAGTGGTGAATCAATTAAATCTCTGACATTTTATAATTTTAGAGTTATACCTACATATATATAGCTTGAATACCAAGACGCAGGACTATGAATCTTTAAAGAAAATAGTCTCTTAGGGTGTCTATGACAGAATTCACAGAATCATAGAATGGTTTGGGTTGGAAGGAACCTTAAAGATCATCTAGTTCCAACCTCCTGCCATTGGCAGGGACACCTTTCGCTAGGTGTCCAAAGCATTCTCACGTTTTTCTGCTCCACTTCTATGGTTTCCTTAAAATGGCTAAGCTTTCTAGTTTGACAAACAACAATTAAAATACTGTTTCTATTCTCAGTTATGAAGTATTCTGGGTTTTTTCTAATCTGAAGCAAAGAATCTGCTTCTCCATAGAAGAGAGAGGTGAAAGGAAAATGTACAAGTTTCTAGTATTTAGTTTTGAAACATTTTTTAAGTTTTGGTTGCTGGCTAGATCACTTAGTGAAATAACTCTTGATGATGACTGATCTACACAGTGCAAAATATTCCTGTATGAATGCATAATTCTTAATACATAGCAGCATTACTTACCAGTAATTTCTGCAGTTTAAAAAGAAAAAAGGAATTGCTATATTTACTTACCCTTTTTGTATTTTAAGACAGTTTCTTGCTCAAGAAAAGTCAAGAATTGAAATGAGGATCACCGTGAAGGAATGAAAGGTGAATTCTACAAGCAAATTTTATCTGGAAAAGTAAGTAGGGGGTGTGAAAGGAGTGGGAAGACTCTTCCATCCCCTGCCCTCTGAAAAAGTTGTATTTTGAATCTTGGATTTCAATAGTGATTGTAAAGAAAATTGAAAAACCTCTCATCATTTTGATGCTCAGCAATACAAAAACAGGAATAAGCAGAAATAAGCTAGATCGAATATATCAGCTAACTTCATTCTCCTTTGTTCTTCTGTCAGAAGTATTTTCTTTGAAAGAAACATGTAAAGTCTGGCTACTCCTCATTTAAGGTTTTATTTTAAATTCAGTGAGAGTTCTTCAGTGTGTATGTAAAATTGTTAGTTTTGTGATGTGGCTTTTGCTTCACTACGTTTTAGGAGACAGATTACTAAAATGATTGTGTCTTTCAGTATGTTCTCCAACAAGAAGTAGAATGATATAAAGCAAAACGTAAACACTACTGTTAAGGACTTGAAACTCCAATTCCTTGGAATGCATCAGAGGTAAACCTGAAGAATTCCTTAAGTACGTTTTTATACTCCTTCAGCTTGAAATTGCCATTTTTATTAGTGCTTATAAACCTGAGTTTTGGATGACTGCTTGACCTTTTGGAATAAGGATTACAGTTAAAATCAGCTGATTAATAACTGCTTATACCGTTTGCAGGAATTAAGGTATTGGACTATAACTGAGTATTGTGATGGCTGGTTCTCTATGTGAAGGGTCTGAGCTTCCTCCATACTACATGGAGAGAGTTAATAATTCACAAAAGCCTAATTGGGGACTTTCTATTTTAGCCATGGGGATATGATTAAGCAAGGCAGAGAGGCATAACATTTAGCCATTTTGACCTAAGACTACAGGGAACCAGATGCAGTGCCAATGTGCTAATAGCTTTGAGGATACGAGACACAGTTTAGAGGTTTTGAAGATATTTAACCTACTTAGCTCACCTACAAAAAGGATAATCTGATTGCCAGCTTAAAGAGGCTTGTAAGCAATTACTGTCTCTACTCTTTTGTTGAAATTCTGAAAAGAATTAAGAATGTCTCTTATTTAGTGACAGAGAAAGAAACATACAGCAGCGACACTCTAGCTTGTGATTAGGATACCTGACTGCAAAAAGAGAAAATCTGGCTTGATCCCTGCCTTTTAATGCAAAGGTGCCCTGCAAAACTTTCTTCAGAGATCACTCCTGCTAAGAGCAATCTAACTGGCAAAGTGTGTGTCTATGTTAGCATTTTAGTTTGGCTCAGAAGTGAGCCAAATTGACTGTCCCTATGTACTGTGCTTTGGTTTATTTCACAGAGTCATATCAGAGCAGGTGACCTGGATTCCTTTGGGGTGAAATGAGACAGGAAGGTGTGCTCCAACCACTACATTCAACCCCTGTGTCCAGACTAAAGCTATTCCAAAGTAAAAACCCTGAAACATGCATTGGTGCTGAGCATTTGACATCCACGCAACTTTTGCTCAACAAATGGGCTTCTTTTGGACTAGTCTACTTACTAAAGTAGACATAAGTATGTGCAAAGACAGCAGACTCAGCATACGCCTTGCTCAGTAACTTCCCTGGCCTCTCTCCGACAACTCTTACTAAATGTACACTCCTAGAATTCACACTAATTTGTCTTTTACATTATTGAGAGATTGAGACTTTCTAGATCTTGGCAAAGATAAAAGTTGGGTTTTTCTATTCTGGCAGGGAACTCTCCCTGGGTAGAGAGGTATTCTTCAGTTCTGCCTGTGTTATTTGCTAAAACGCTGTTCTTTAACTGAGTTAGATTATAAACCACTGTTTTCCCCTCCTCCATCTTCTTTATGGGCAGATTTAAACCTCATATATAACCTGTGATAGATAAGAGATCAATTCACTTTACCCATATTCCATCTTTTCAGTTACACTAGAATTCTCTTGCATTAAATATCTGTTGTAGTTAACCTCTAAATATAAAGCCAAGCAAATAAGAATAGGAGTATTGAGGTGAAAAATCAAGATATTGAATCTAACAAAAACGCGTAGCTCTAAAGTACAGCTACAACTCACATTGTGTGTTCAATAAAACACTTCCCGAGATTCATACTAACAGTGGATTCAGTGACATGCAAAGGAAGTAATCAGACACATCTTACATTGTTAAATTAATCAGCACAGCCATAGTTACAGAAAAGGATAAAATTAAGACCTGATGTAAACAGGTGAAGTTCATGATAATGGGTTAGCTAGTTACAACAGTGATGTAAATATTGTATTAGCAAACAGGTCAGAAAATAGGTGTAATTTTCATCAGCTTAATCTCCAGTGCCTGTTTGTAATGTACAAATGAGTAAGACAAGCATAGAGAAAATAGAATAGAATAAAGTAATCCAAGTAAGTGGGCATAGATGGCTACATTTAAACCTTCTTAACCACAATAAATATTAAGAAAATTATTATTTCTAAAGGATAGGAAAGGTTATGATATTCTTTTCTTTAGGGAATCTGTAAAGACTACCATACATTACAAAATTAAAATTAAAAGCTTCTCAGAAAGAAGAGCTGGCAAATGAATACTTTCATGATGTGTTTTCCTTGAATCCCTGAAGTATCTTAATATATATAAATCAGTATCTCATTTTTTAAGATACATTCTGCACTCTCAGAAAGCGTCCTTAGCCCACTGGACATGAAGAGAGGTGCTGTGAAAACTGCCCACAGAACTGTCTGAACTTCTGACTTCTCATTACCCTGGCCAAAATTACCTATAAGCAGTTGGAATAGATCAGATATCATTAAATCAATAATTGAAGCAATGTATGTATGAAATTGAAATACAGCCTTCATGTCCGGACAGATACATTTGTCTGATTGTAAGACATTTTGCAAATGTGTGACTCCCTTAAGAAAATGGTAAAGCACCTTAAAAGACTTACAGATCTTAAGGCTCACTAAGCTGGAAAACTGAAGTTAATCTACTGAGAGCTTACAGAGCAGAACTTTTATTTCTCAAATTTATTTACTCTTTAGTATTTCTTGACTGAATTAATACAAAATACCCTACATCTTCCATTTAATTTTCAAATCACATTTTCAGAGCTTTCTGTGTGGCCCTGCAAATGAATATCAAATTTTCTAGTCCAGAAACAAGTTTTATGTACATATTTTTACATACTTTGGACAACTAACACTTAGGAAGGATATCTTAGCTAGGCACCTTGATTGTAATGATTAAAACTTTAACTACTGTATTTTTGGGACAGAGTGCTTGAAGAGTGGGTTTCGGTTGTTGCTCTAGAAGCACTTTCAGGTATGGCTTTGTGTGGTTACAGTTTTGCCACTCTTCCTGTTTAAATGTATATGACAGCAGCAGGAGATAATCCAAGCTGTAATACTGCTGATAGCCTAACCAGCACGCCTCTTTTTTTTTCTTTTTCTTCCCCCTGCCAAAGCAAGGTGGTGCATTTTGATTTGTTTCCAAACATACTAAGAGAGGTCTGAGTAACTTAGATGACTTAGTGAGAAAAGCTAGCTGGGGGAAAAAACCTAGATCCATTTCCTACCTGCTCATTACAACCCTTGCTACTCTCAAGAGAAGATTAAAAGCAGAGACTGGAACTTCCCCCCCTCCCTCCTTTTTTGTCCTGCCTAATAGAAGATCTTTAAGAGGTCATCTGAAGCTAATGTGCATGATGGTGGCCGGCATTAACAAATTTCAACTAGCCCCACTTACTTAATACATTTGTTTTCCGTGTGCTAAAATATTGCACTGAAATTGCTTGACTTTTTTTATTTCAAAATTTCCTTTCTAATTTTGAACCTTTCAACCTAAAAGAATTGTTACCTTTCTACTTTTTGTTGGATTCAGGTCAGATAAAAACTTGTAGCTATGCCCTAGCATTCAGCTCCTAGAAACCGAGGGCCTATCCGCCACCTCAGGAAGCACAGCAGTGGGACTTTCGCCCTCTGCTGGTCTATTGCACCGTGACTCCACTACTGTGAAAGGCAAAAAGCTCATCTTCCATTTAGTAAAATAATCCATAAATTAAGTCGAGGCATTATGGAATGACTGTTTACCAGCTTTTAATTTTTGCTGTGGATTATGATTGAGACATCGAAACAAAACAAAGATACTCTCTATTGTATACTAATGCTTAATTTTTATATAAAGGATATGACTGATGGATTTCTACGCTAACTCCTACGCTAAAACCCACAGCTGTTTCACTGGCTTAAACAATTTCCAACCATGTTTCAACAAGCGAGAAATCTTAAATTAATTTAAAAAATGTTAAGTAGTTTCCTAAGGAAATCAAAATGTTGATAGTTAATATCAGGCTCATATCATAAAACTTACAGTTTAACTTGCCTTGTAGCTCTTTTCCAAGTACTCTGCTGCCCCTCCACCACCGTCAATTTCTTAGTGATAGCAGAAATCACTTCCCTGCTGCGGCATTACCCCTGTAAGCAAAAAAGTAAATGAACTATATATGAAACATGGTTGTTAGAGTACCAAGTCACAAACACAACTTTGCAACATGCTATTTGTGTAGGAAGGTATTGTTATGCTGTTTAGCTCGAGTCTAAGGGTAATTAAATAATAATATAGAAACATTTAAGAAACAATAAACAAAAAAGTCAAAAAACCCTACCCAAAACTTTTTTTCTACAGAGAGAAGTGTTGTCTAGTACAGGGTATTCAGTTCTTGCATGGTTTTCAAAAAAAGAGTATAGACTGATGTAGTTGCTGTTTTAAAAAAAAAAAAAAAAAGTTAATCTTATTTTCAAGGGTCAAGCTGATAATTTGACCAGTAGCTGCTGGAAATGACAATGTACAATTTCATCGGCATTTGCAAAGGAAAAGGTTTTGCCCTTTCTATGATGCCATGAGTTAGGGTTTTCAACAGCACGGCATGCACATGGCAGAACAGATAAAATACCATAGAGAGTGTAACTCACATGCCATACTCAATGTTTTATCATGGAGTTATTAAGAATCCATCACTACCCACAAAAAAGCAGAAACAAAACCTAAGACTGGCAATACCTTTAGCGGGAGTCCTCCCTCATTTGCTGGCCAGCTACAGAAATGTGCAGTAGGTCTTCCTATTTTGGTCAGACCAATGCTCACTCATCTCTGGGTATCCTAAGGAAAAAGAAGGGTGTCAAGTAGTGGCAGAAAATAGAAAAATAATAACGGCAGTACCCCAGAAAAACAAGCAAAAAACCCACCAGCTGCAGACTGACTTTTAGAATGAATTACATTAAATTACATTTAATCAACACATGATTATTTAAAATAAGGGGCATAATGTCTCTTGCCTTTGGAAGGGAATTGTTCATAATCTAGTTTAGTTAGGTTTAATTCTGCAGGTTTCTCTTCTCATAAAGATATAATATGGCTTAGCTGTTTCAGTCTGGTTAATTCAGGTCAATATTCCTAAGCATGACTTAATCGAAGGAGTTCTGTATTTCATACTGTTGTTTTGTATACAGCTCTATCTTGGTGAAGTATTTAGAGGACTTATGTATAGATTCTTTGTTGCTGAATATTTCCTTTGGTAGTAGCTAAAACATATATTCATGTCTGACCAAAACTGGCTGTTTTTACAGATGTTAAAAAGATATATTTTCTGAAATTTCCTAGTTTAATTATTCAGGGAGATATATTTTTTCCCTTCCCAAAATACATGTGGAGTTGTAATAACCATCTATTCCATATGTAGTTATATTCCATACTGTTTAAGGAAAGAGAACAATGTTGTCATACATATATACATATCACACAGAATTTTTGATCTGGGAAAGAATCAAGGACTCTGTCAAAACAGCAAAACCAAAACAGTTTTGAAGGGAATACATTCCTAGAATTATCTGTAAACATAAAAAACTTATTTATGCCAGAAATTCCAGTGAACTGTAATACTCATGTCAGAAAGTGTTGCATGATAATGACTTCAGATGCTGCAGATAAAGGAATGCACTGAAAAAAAACTTACTTGCCTTCACTCAGCTAAAACTACTACTCACAACTACGTAACCCTCCTGATCAGTGATCACATAATACATAGGCATTCCAAAGCAATTTACTTTATGACATTTGAATTATAAAAACCAGACTGGTTTTGTTTTGTTTCCTCTCCAAATTTTTTTTAGAGTTCAAGAAAAGTCCCTTTTCTTGTGTTATAAGCTTGTTGTGGAAAAAAAATGTTTAAAAAGCTGGCCATGTTTTTGAAAAAGGCAACCGCATAAATGCCTTAACTTCCATTTTCTTCAAGTGCCAACTCTTCCTTAGCTCAAAATATTACTTTGCTTAAACATGGGAATTCACAAGGGATTTTCTAAAATTAACTACTTGATCATAAATCTTAAAATATTATCATAACTTAAGATTAACAACAAGGAACACATCTACTTGTACAGCAGTGGAAATGATAAGACTATGCATGTTCTTCTGTCTTAGTAACTACTATTTAGAAAAATCTACAATTGCATGTTTTTCAGGCTGTAGCTTGGCCAAACCTGAAAACTGACACCAATGTAGCTTGGAAGATACGATGAACCAGTGGCAGAGCAACAAGGGCATATTTCAGTGACTGAATCTTGGAGCACAGTTTGGGTGGTTTTGGAATGCAGGACTCAGTTCTCCAGTTTAAATGCTTCCTTGAATAACAGAACAGTGTTTAAGACAGGCATGCTTCACCAGGGCAAGGAACCTTCCATCAGCGCAGCTTCACTTGATAAAACTACTAATTGTCTGTATTCCATTCAGTCTCAATTAATGGTAGTATAATTTGTATACTATATTTGTTAAAACCTGGGAAGCTTTTCTTTATGCAGTTCTACCATACAGGCCACATTGGTGTCTCAAATGTTTTTTATAACATTCTTTGTGGGAACATCTGTACAAGACTGGCCAGCTGCGCTACTGACATTGCCATCACTAATGCTACTGGAAAAAACGAAGTAGTAGTATTAGAATACCATTTTTGTCCACTTTTAAGAGAGGGAAAAACCCAACCCCTCACATTTGAGAAAGAGATCTGTAATTCAGCAATCCCTTGGTGTAAATTCTGCCAGCAGAAGCGGTACGTATCGCCTGTCACAAAGGAAAGTGTTCCTGCTTTCACCTGCCACTGGTGAGATCAGCCACGGCTGACGCTGAGGAAGCAATGACCGAACGACGCTCCTTAAGCCTCCTGGTTACCCGTGTTTTACCATGTGGCAAAAGAGCTTTCATCAACGTAGTTTTGAGTTCCAACATAAAGAGTCAAAAGACACAGCACGTTCATAAATACTCATCCCAGGCAAGTGACGGAGAAAACCTGGGGTCACGCCGGCGCAGGGCAGCTTCCAGGCTGCCGTGCCCAGAACCGAGCGCCGTTCCCGCCGGGCTCTCACAGGCGCCGGCACGCTCCACCTTCGCTTCGACGCGGCTGACGGCGCAGCATCCGACCCCA